GTTTGTATAAATTTCTCATTGGTCTGTACAATGTATCAGTTTGTATAAAATTTCTCATTGGTCTGTACTATGTATCAGTTTGTATAAATTTCTCATTGGTCTGTACATGGTATCTGTTTGTATAAATTTCTCATTGGTCTGTACAATGTATCAGTTTGTATAAATTTCTCATTGGTCTGTACTATGTATCAGTTTGTATAAATTTCTCATTGGTCTGTACATTGTATCAGTTTGTATAAAATGTCTCATTGGTCTTTACAATGTATCAGTTTGTATAAAATGTCTCATTGGTCTGTACATGGTATCAGTTTGTATAAATTTCTCATTGGTCTTTACAATGTATCAGTTTGTATAAATTTCTCATTGGTCTGTACAATGTATCAGTTTGTATAAATTTCTTATTGGTCTGTACTATGTATCAGTTTGTATAAATTTCTCATTGGTCTGTACATTGTATCAGTTTGTATAAAATGTCTCATTGGTCTGTACAATGTATCAGTTTGTATAAATTTCTCATTGGTCTGTACATGGTATCAGTTTGTATAAATTTCTCATTGGTCTGTACATGGTATCAGTTTGTATAAATTTCTCATTGGTCTGTACAATGTATCAGTTTGTATAAAATGTCTCATCGGTCATAATATCAATTTAAGTTAATATAATAACTATAGTTAGTATAAATTTAATACTCAGTGCGACAATTAAGCTATTTAATTACTTTTTATATTAAATCTCTGCCCTTTGGTTTGAACTTGTTGTAGATATTGTTTATAAGCTTAATGTGTGGAGGCATGTTTGTTGGGTTCAAAGGGAATCATGGTGATTATAATAGACTAAGACTAAAATTAAGATATTTGACAGTTTGATTAATAGATATAGAAAGACAATGACGTCTTGAATCTAATTGTTATTCGAAGATGTATGTACTGCCGTAGATCGCAGTACGTACCTTCAGTAATGAACTAATGTGGGATTAAAAATACATTCTCAAGCCTAAGAGAGCTCTCTGGTGACGATAACATTCCTTGGAGACATCTTTGAAACCTCTACAGAATAGATAATATGGAATGTTTATCTGAAGACATGGGGTTTATTAATTATGTTTTGAGTTTTGTCCAATTTTATCTTAAAATTAAAATGAGAATTTCCTAGGACCCTGGTTCATCTCATCCCTTTTTTCTCCAATCTATGATCTATGTTCCAAGATGCTCTAGTAGGTTATTTCAGTAATACAATGATAATGAGGAGAGAACGTTACTCTTATATGAGATTTGATTGTCGCCCTTTTTGAAAATATTGAATATTTTTTTCCGACCTTTTTGCATTATTTGCCAGCTTATTTTTCACAATTGAGTTGGTCGGCTAAACGCCACAAAAAATATTGTTGAAGTAATGGATATTTGTATTTTTCATTATAATCTTTCTCATCTATTTATATTATTAACATCTTCAAGTTGTCATATAAAAACAACAATATGTTAACAATAGACCACCTTCTATGGCTTTACCATCAATCTCTCTTCAAAATCTAATCAATAAGAATCACATTGCTTTCATCATGGGGATACACAAACATGTATACCATGATTAAGCTTTAACATCTCAGGATGTAATCGATGCATTTTCTTTACAGAATCAATGATGTATAAGAATTCTTAGGGGACAGCGCTAACGTTATTACTTCTTTTACAAAATCATCTGAATTTGTCTAAAAGCACAAGTTTTGATTTACTACAATACACTTTGTTACATTCAAACTAATGAAAGTATGTACCTAATACCCACTGCCATGTAAAGGCGGTTTCAAGAGGAAGCTTGCATGTGTAAAGGTTAGTATGACTACACGCCAACGCTCATCTTTATTCGTCGACTTCTAATGACAAAATGCCATTCTTTCGGGGCTAATGAGGTAGTAGAAAACAAAGATCAAATAGTCAAGTACAATGATTGTGTTAACAATTTTTTGTTGACGTTTGTACCTGTATTACTGCTAGGCCCCTCTACCGGTGGGGTACAAATTATATCAAAATCGATAAATTTGAATTTAACAATTTCTTCAACTCTTTATCTAAAACTGATTCAACTGTTAAAATTTATTTCTATTTTGCACATCATGATAGAAAGACAGTGTATATGATTCCATGAACACAAAGTAAAGTAATTATGGTGATAATTGATTAATATTCTGAACAGTGTGTCTACTGATGGGTACTCCAGATCTGATTATTTATTATTTTTTTATCATTTTTATTTTCATGATTATTGTTACCAAGATATCATGCAACATTGTACAAACCAAAAAAAAATTATAATGACTTGCCTTTTAACAAACTGTCAAAATGACTTTGGATTTAAAATAGCACCCTATCCATGTTTGTCCAATATTACGAAGTTGATTGATGGAAGATACAGGTTTATATTGATTGTGTGAATCATTATATCATCATTTATTACAACCTGTCCACATGCTTCTAGATAATAATACGAATATTTCCACAGCTTATAATATTAACATTGTTTCTCTTTGTAAATTATTTGTTTCGTATCTTAACCTATGTTGGTAAAACGGATGTTTATGATTTATTAAGTTCAGATCATCTTAACTGAGGTAATGCAATTTCCGGTGTTCGAAGTGCATTGTATTTTGTTTTGTGGTATATAGTTATTTATTTAAAGGTGAATACGTCTGCCTATTTAAGTAAATGCACTGTTGTCTTATCCCTCAATTCGTGCACCATCAGGAGTATATATCATAGATGTAATTATTGTTTTATCTTTGAAACACGGTTTATTTAAGCTCAATGCCTCGATTAAATAGATAGATTCTTGTCATAGTTTTCTCTACTTTTTACCTCTGTGTAACCTTTTCCTACGCGAACATCTATAATTTGTACAAGTTTCATCTTAACCTACTTTATTTGCTTGGTTAATGCTCCCTTCCCCGAAAACTATTTCACCCAACTTCGTGGATCATTGACGATCAGTTATAATAAATGTTATTGTCACTACATCCCACATACAAAGTCCTTTATGAAATATGAAAATTATCATTCTATTTTTTCATGGTAGGCCATATAAAATAAGATGATGAAAGCAATTTTCGGGAATAAACTGAAGCTTTATCTATTTCTTTAAACGTTTCAGCTTTTTGAGTCCATATATTTACCTAGATCTCAGTTGAACGTAAATAATTACGGATACAAAACAATAACTTAAATGGACGTTCGCCATCCGTTTGACCATTTGTACTTTTGTCTCAGATACAAGAATTTTATAGCACAGCTAATCAGTAATAGTGTTCACATCTCACCGTCGACATATTATGAGAGTTCCAATGCGTTTTAAAGTTAAAATGAATCTTGAGACTCTTGTCATAATATATAGAAATTCCTATAGTTTGAATTACTCGATCTTCATGGTTCTAGTACTTCTGAAGACTATATATATTCAAGACCCCATTCAATCCCCCAAAATGGCCAACCTGTTTGAGACTCTTCTCATATATAGAAATTCCTATAGTTTGGATTACTCGATCTTCATAGTTCTAGTACTTCTGAAGACTTTATATATTCAAGACCCCATTCAATCCCCCAAAATGGCCTCCCTGTTTGAGACTCTTGTCATAATATATAGAAATTCCTATAGTTTGGATTACTCGATCTTCATGGTTCTAGTACTTCTGAAGACTATATATATTCAAGACCCCATTCAATCCCCCAAAATGGCCAACCTGTTTGAGACTCTTGTCATATATAGAAATTCCTAGTTTGGATTACTCGATCTTCATGGTTCTAGTACTTCTGAAGACTATATATATTCAAGACCCCATTCAATCCCCCAAAATGGCCAACCTGTCACTTTAATGTTCAACTTATTACAATCTGACAAAAAATAAATAATCGAAATTAGTATAGTTGTTGAAAGGAAGTCTACCAGACGTTTTCCCTATAGGTTGTGATATTAGGTGCAATAGGAGATGCTCTTCACTGGCCAGGCTACTATTGTCTGTCAAACGATGTGCTTGCAGTAGAATGTACAAAGAAACAAAAAAGAAGCGTAAATAACAATTTCTTCTATAAATTCAAATGGGCATTAATTTGAAATTGGATAATCTTTATTTGACTAACAAGGTTTAGTAAGATTGACGAGGTGTCCAAGTCGGTACATGTATCATAAATCTCTGTTTTCTAAATCACACTTTACTGTGAAGGTCAAGAACCCTCGTACTTTCGCTCAATCTAATCTCTCACTACGATGAGTTTTGACCACATCTTTTATTATTTGTACCGAGATGCCTATTTATGTTCTTCAGTAATTTCCATTTATTCATTTTCCTTTACTCCTTATATTTCATCGAATTCAAAACATTGGCATATTAGTTTTAATCTCTTGGTAATAATTTTACTATCGTGGCTTTTATTGGTAATATTTAGTTCAGAAACCCGACATCAAATTTTGTGATAGTTAAACTGTCACTTCGAATTTATACAAAATGCAGGTCAAACCTACCATGGCTTTTAGCTACTAATCTAATGACAGGGCAAAATATGATGGAGATCTGAGCTAATTACTGAGAGAATTTTGCTTCACTTTGTGGCTGGTCTAATTGGTGGAGATACTGTATTACCTTCAGGCTTTGTTAGTTTTCTTCTACGCCTTTCACTTATTATGACTGGAAGTTGATAAAAGACTTGGAAGAGATATTGTGACTTTAGTTGTATGTGAATGATGACTTGTATACATGACTACCTCTGGACTATCAGTGACCACCCAACATCGTCAGTTTCAAAACAGATTACTCGTAAGATGATTACATACATATCTTGTCAATCTCTCTCACCACGCCGATAAACTTTATTTTTCCATATTTAATGCCTTAAATTAAGACTTGGAGTGCAGCTGCTTAAAGAAATTCTCAGTTGGAAACAATCTGGTGATGTGAAAAACTTGTGATTTTATGAACATTTTATTTTACATTGTGGAACAATAAAGCAGAATATATGACTAATACAATTAATTGGAACAATCAGACATATAGGGTTGTTTTAAGGTAATTATTCACGTTTTATTTTGTAAATTCAATTTCAGGGCAGGTGTGTATTTGTTTTTACAAAAGATACAGTGACTTTTGTCACCGAATTGTCTCTGAATATATGCGTCTGATGTCAATATAAAAACTATTCTGAAACAACTACATATATACGGACTATACACATGTACATTGATTTAACTGCGGTCGCATAGTGCGATGAACACTTGCACACAAAATCTAGGTCTAGTAACCCGTCTGTATCTAAATATAAAGATTGCAATGTTTTGTTAAGTAGTGGGATGTATTTTCGAGCCTGGTACAGCGAGGCCTATGTTTCATCTTGGTTAGATAAGAAAGATAAAAAAAATTATGTTTTAGGAATTTGTTTCTGTTACGTTTGTTTACAGTGTAAGGAGCCTTTTTTTACCATTTTATATATAAAGATGTTCTACATCCTAAATGTTGTTCATTATATCTTTTGAATATTTCAATGGAAAAGTACCGACGAAGGTCATTATACTGAATTGTTGGTATAAATGACAGCAATTGTTATTGGGAGGAGACGTGTGACCATCGGATGAAAAAGACTTTTAAATCCTTCTTTCGGCTTAGGAAACAACGAAAACCTATATCAATATTTGGCCAATGTTACTTTATAATTGTTAAGAGATAATGCTAGATTTAGAAAGTATATATATATATATATATATATTTATATATCAGACAGGTAGGAAGATTATTTCTCAATCTTACCATTACCTCAGGTAATCCGTATTTTAAATCCTATATCTTCTTTATAGAAACATTTCTTCATTAATTAATCTCAATATAGCACTCTACTCCCCCGCAATCATTTACTCTTCTAAATATACACTATTTACTCTAATCTACAGTTCCTATACAGTCATTCATACAAATATCGTTTCTATCGTAGCTAATTCTCAGATAGTAAGCTGATATATAGCAGTCTGTGACGTGCACGATTAATAAGATTCTAGTAAGCAGCTCGGGGATCGACTTTGTTTAGTCATGCCCACATGGGATGAGAACAGTTTACTCTTTTGAAGTCATTTTAGAACATTCTGTTATCGTCTTAGTTTAGCAAAAAATGGTGTAGGTGCCTGAAATCCCTATACACGCAATGATGGAGGTAAAACTAATAACACTAATGATGTCTTCAAAGTAGCCATATTCCACTGTGTTGAAGCAATGACATAAACCTTAGTAGCTTGAAAAATCTCATTTTACTCGCTGGCTACCAGACTGCCTGAACTGGACTTAAACAACAAGTATAATTTGAGTGATGTGAGTTACTGAGTGACCCGTGGGTTAAAAAATAAATGAGTAATATATCATATACAATTATCTAATATATCATAATAAAATCAAATATCATTGTTTAATCAGGGGTGTATATTTTTTCTATTGTAGAGTCATGATGGACTGTTTAAATATTACCTTTGAAGCTGAAAATAGGAACATGACGGCTGTAGTAAATGATGATGCCAAGAAACTCTATGAAGAAGTTAGCCATATTGTGTATGGATTCGGAATACCATCTGTTTGTTTATTTGGAATGGTTGGAAATGTTTTAAATTTGTGTATTTTAACAAGACGGAAATTACAAAAAGCTTTTAAAAGATTGGAATTATCAGCTAATTTATGTTTAGTTTCATTGGCAGTTTCTGATCTAATGTTTTGTCTATTTGCCTTTCCAACTGTTTTCCTACCACAGGATGATGTTTATTCAACTAAGGGTTTTGTGTTATATTACAGAATTTACTGTGCCGCTATTATCAACGTTTTTATCATAATCAGTACTTGGTTGACGGTAGCAATGGCTTTAGAACGATATCTTGCGATTTGTCATCCGTTACGACAGGATATATATCTAACGACTAGCCGTATCAAATGTGTTATTGTGATAACTTATGTTTTTTCGTTTGCGTTTAACATTCCGGTATTGTGGCGATATGAAATAAGACAATTGTGTACGCCGAATTCCTCTAGAAAAGCGTATATGCCGACACCGGTACAGCTTTGGAATGATAGACAAATAGATACAGCTTACAGGATCATTTGGGCAGTGATTGGAAATTTTATACCTTTAGTTCTTTTGTTATATTTCAACGTTTGTTTGTGCCGAAGAATTTATAAATCGTATAAAATGCGCCAAACGTTTAAACGTGATCGACGTAAGGACCATTCAGCTACTAGCACAAGTCATACAATAACAATTACTCTAGTCGTTATCATTGTGATGTTTTTCATTTTAGTCGCACCATCTGAAATAGTTATACATTTAGCTCGTATGACGGACAATGAAAGTAACTATACATATTTAACTATAGAAGCTGTCATGAATTTTATGCAGTCCGTCAACTTTTCAGTGAACTTTATCCTATATTGTATTATCAGTCCATATTTTAGGAAAACTTTAAAATATTTATTTTGTTGTGGCTGCTGGAATATATATCAAGTTTCTAAACAATGGAAAAAAGAATTTGAAACATCGTTAATGTAACTGGAGTAAATAATATGTCTGATTTTGATAGTAAAAATTATTTTGTCTGTGCCAATCTCCTATTTATCACATTTCTCCTATTTTATGGCCTTGATTAATGAAATTCAACAAGGGCTATCATCATTAGAATAATTGACTGTTGGAAGAAAGAATTGTGGCTCTATTTTATAGTTATAAGATATTCTATTATGATCGTCAATTGTCTACTTTACAGACTCTTTTTATTGCCAAATATACTCTACCACAAAATATCAGCCATAATAACTGCTGTTTTATTATCTACAATAAAGTGATATATACATTCCTTATAATTTACTGCTTATTACTCTCTCCTAAATATCAGGCTTACCTTTTCAGTTGTGTACATCTGGAACGTATACATTTGATAAAGCTAAAGTGGAAATTCATTTCAATGTTTCCACAATCAGTCATTTTGTGACTGTATTTAGGACTGCAATAGTATTCCTGTACCACATTTCAAAATGAAATCGGATATTGTGATCGAGAAGAATTTATTTATTGAAAAAAGGACTGGAAAACCTGTTAAATTTGTCTTTCGTCATCACATCCTGAAGGAAACTGATGGATGTTGAGTTTAAAAGAATTTACAGCGATATTATTGAGTTATAATAATATTCTAGAAATAATATTTATTATATAGATAACTCCAGTTGCCTTGTATAATATCAAAATGTAAATACAAAATGCCTTCTCAAGAATTTTTCAGCGAAAATTCGAAAGCACAGCTGTCAATGGCACAGTTTTAAGTATAGAAACTGAGAAAATATCATCTTGTTGAAATAGAAATAAGATGTTTGTAATTTTACGTTTTATTTTTTCTGCACCTGTTGAGCTAAAAAAAAAAGAGGGATGGTATTATCTTGTCATTGTATCATCAGAACAAATTTGAAGGCAGGCCCAGGATGATGGAATGTTTAATAAACTTCATCAGATGATCAAGAAATTGACCGTCTGTAGCTGCAATACTCCTGGTGGTCGCTCGCAGTTTTCAGCCGCAGAAAAGATAATTCAATTATTTACCACAACGTATACAGATCCAATCTTGACAGGAAACACTGAAACACTGAAAATTTATTATTTTTCTCCAAGGAAATATTGCCAGTAACTTGCATTTTCGATTACTTAATGATAAAAGAGTACCTTTATAATTTGTGTATCACACGAGTTCTCGACCTTCTTCTAATCCCAACATCTTTACACTTTTTTGTATACTAGTTACTTCCATTATAAAAGTAAAAGGGTACAAGTAGTGTGCAATTTCAGCTACTTGTTGTCCATTGTGTTGGCCTACACTTATGCTACTTATTAGATGTTAACGGTGAACAAAAAATGCTTATAAACTTAAATGCAATAACATAAACCGAGCTACTTATTATTCTAGATATGTTTTCAAATTTTGACGATTCTAGATTTTTGCAGAGAAATGATTGAAATGATTTGGTTTAAAGTAAACTTTTTTCTCAAAAATGCTGATGTCACTTGGAAACTTTATCTAACTACATCAAAGGAGTAAGAGTTGCCAAATTTTCGGTACTTTGAAACACGTTTTAGATGAAACAGACTTTTGTAGCAAAGCAATAGTTATAGCTGAAATAGACCACGTTAAATATACTTGTAATCAATGGTTTACCAAAACAGTAGCCACAACAGCAATATAAGTCAACCTTTTCAGAAATTTAAGCCGATCGTTATTTTATCCAATTACCATATGATTAAATGTAAACAATTTGTGTCTTGTATATACATGATTATACGTTGTATGATTTTTGAACAACGAACATCGTTGGTGACCTTTGAAGATGGTCTGCATTACTTTACATGTTAATCAATGAACAAAAAAAAATTTGATAACAAATATTGATAAATTAACATAATACCTACATAGATATAGGCCAAACCAACTACGGTTTCGAATCCCGTGGAAAATAATTAATTTTACTCAATCTGCAAGCAAATGAATTTTGTCTTACTTGAACCTTATAACCTTAATCTAGATTTTTTCAATCAGAAAAATAAAAAGAAATGTTATTAGAAGATCAACATTGTTACAATCTCGTTTATCTTGGTAGGATTACGTCTGATTCTATACATGTCAATTACTAAACAACAATAGAAAAAATTGTTTTCAAATTTCAGATTAAATTGCCTTCTAAAATAACCTCTCCATTCTATTGCTACATTGATTTCTAAAGCCGAAATAGTAACCATAGACAGATTAATTGATTAAGTTCATAGCAGATACTCAAACATCAACTTAGTATTAAAGGAGCAATTCCATTTATTTCATAAATAATAATAAAAACTCAACATAATAAGGCATCGTCTATTTTGCTCCTGAATATTTTATCCTGAATATTTTACACTTATAGGGTTTTAAATCAAACATGTTATATTGCGCATATGGGGTAGAAAACCATATGTACCGTATTTTCTATAATCAGCAAAGAATTCAACAATAAAATTTCACATAGTTATTAAATACTCCGATACAACACAGGCAGAGATATTTCAGATCCCAGTCGATGAAATCATAACCATTTGAAATCATATAGACACAAAGTTGTTCTTCTCTCTAACTCGAGAAAGGCCAATGATATTTACGATGAGGTCCGCGTCCATAAGACAAATTATTAAGACAAATCTGTTGTTTTATGGTGTTAAAATGGGACGGACTATGGTAATAACGTCATAAAGAAAATGAAACCCGTTTTAAGGTCGCACCAAGTCAATAGACTGTCTGAAAGTAGTAAGATTAAAGTGATTAAATAAACGGAAAAAATGGGAACTTGGCGTGTATGGAATAGATCAATTTTCTGGAATCATGAACCAGTGACAAGACGAAACAAATGAACCTACTAATATATAAGTTTACTTTACACCTAAAATACCTATAAATCATTATTCTTAATTTATTAGTATGTCAATATAACGGTATTTAAGCACAGTATACTAATATTTAACACGAGACTTTATATTTTACATGGCTCTATATCAAGACATTATATTTTACACGATATCTATATCGAAACCCTATATTTTACACGATATCTATATTAAAACATTATATTTTACACGAAATTTATATCAAAGCATCATATTTTACACAATATATATATCGAGACTTTATATTTTACACAATATCTATATCGAAACCCTATATTTTACACGATATCTTTATCAAAACATTATATTTTACACGAAATTTATATCAAAACATCATATTTTACACGATATAAGTGTATATTAGATAGGACATCTATATCGAGGCGTCATATTATAAATAAACAAAGTACTAACATTCCAGACTGCAAAACGAAACCCCGAAATCCAAAACAACATTCAGCTAATGAACGTTTCACATGAAGAAGTATATCAATTATAAATGAGTAAGTATTTCATAATGAAATGAGGTATCAAGTGTTTAGAAGAGTAAGCATACCCTGCTTGGCGCCGCACTCGTCATAGCTGCCTAACATACAGCAAACACGATAAATAGGAACATACAAACAAAACGATAGATTGCTATGCAAGGTAAATGCAGTTTTGATTTTGAATAAAAAATATTATATTTTACACGATATCTATATCAAAACATTATATTTTACACGATATCTATATCAAACAATCATATTTTACACGATATCTATATCAAAACATTATGTTTTACACGATATTTATATCAAAACATTATATTTTACACGATATTTATATCAAAACATTATATTTTACACGATATCTATATCAAAACATTATATTTTACACGATATCTATATTAAAACATTATATTTTACACGATATCTATATTAAAACATTATATCTTACACGATATCTATATTAAAACATTATATTTTACACCATATCTGTATCAATGCATTATATTTGACTCGACATCTGTATCAATGCATTATATTTTACACGATATCTATATTAAAACATTATATCTTACACGATATTTATATCAAAACATTATATTTTACACCTTATCTGTATCAAGGCATTATATTTGACTCGACATCTATATCAATGCATTATATTTTACACGATATCTATATTAAAACATTATATTTTACACGATATTTATATCAAAACATTATATTTTACACCATTTCTGTATCAAAGCATTACATTTGACCCGACATCTGTATCAATGCATTATATTTAAACGAAATCTATATCAAGACATTATATTTTACACGATATCTATATCAAAACATTATATTTTACACGATATCTATATCAAAACATTATATTGTACACGATATCTATATCAAAACATTATATCTACCCGATATCTATATCAAAACATTATATTTTACACGATATTCATATCGATGCATTCTATTTTACACGATATCTAAATCAAAGCATTATATCTTGCACGATATCTATATCGAAACATTATATTTTACACGATATCTATATCAAAACATTATATTTCACACGATATATATATCAAAAGATAATATTTTACACGGTATGTATATTAAAACACACGATATCTATATTCAAACATTATATTTTACACGATATCTTTATCAAAACATTATATTTTACACGATATCTATATCAAAACATTATATTTTATACGATATCTGTATTAAAGCATTATATTTGACCCGACATATGCATCAAGGCATTATATTTTACACGATATCTATATTAAAACATTATATTTTACACGATATCTATATTAAAACATTATATTTTATCCGACATCTTTATCAAGGCATTATATTTAAATGAAATATATATTAAAACATTATGTTTACACGATATCTATATCAAAACATTATATTTTACACGATATCTATATTAAAACATTATATTTTACACGATATCTGTATTAAAACATTATATTTTACACGATATCTATATCAAAACATTATATTTTACACGATATCAATATCAAAACATTATATTTTACACGATATCTATATTAAAACATTATATTTTACACGATATCTATATCAAAACATTATATTTTACATGATATCTATATTAAAACATTATATTTTACACGATATCTATATCAAAACATTATATTCTATACAATATCTAAATCAATACATTATATTTTACACGATATCTATATCAAAACATTATACTTTACACGATATCTATATCAAAACATTATATTTTACCCGACATCTGTATCAAGGCATTATATTTAAACGATATTTATATCAAGGCATTATATTTTACACGTTATCTATATCAAAATATTATATTTTTCACGATATTTATATCAAAAGATTATATTTTACACGTTATCTAAATCAAGGCATTATATTTTACACGATATCTAAATCAAGGTATTATATTCTACACGATATCTGTATTAAAACATTATATTTTACCCGACATCTATATTAAAACATTATATTTTACACGCTATCTAAATCAAAACATTATATGTTACACGATACCTAAATCAAGGCATTATATTTTACACGATATTTATATCGAAACATTATACTTTACACGATATCTATATCAAAACATTATATTTTACACGATATCTATATTAAAACATTATATTTTACATGATATCTATATTAAAACATTATATTTTACACGATATCTATATCAAAACATTATATTTTACACGATATCTATATCAAAACATTATATTTTACATGATATCTATATCAAAACATTATATTTTACACGATATCTATATCAAAACATTATATTTTACACGATATCTAAATCAAGGTATTATATTCTACACAATATCTAAATCAATACATTATATTTTACACGATATCTATATCAAAACATTATACTTTACACGATATCTATATCAAAACATTATATTTTACCCGACATCTGTATCAAGGCATTATATTTAAACGATATTTATATCAAGGCATTATATTTTACACGTTATCTATATCAAAGTATTATATTTTACACGATATTTATATCAAAAGATTATATTTTACACGTTATCTAAATCAAGGCATTATATTTTACATGATATCTAAATCAAGGTATTATATTCTACACAATATCTTAATCAAAACATTATATTTTACACGATATCTAAATCAAAACATTATATGTTACACGATACCTAAATCAAGGCATTATATTTTACACGATATCTATATCAAAACATTATATTTTACACGATATCTATATCAAGAGATTATATTTTACACGATATCTATTTCAAGAGATTACATTTTACACCTTATCGGATACAATATTCATCATGGTATCTGTATCAAGGCATTATATTTTACACGATATCTATATCAAAACATTATATGTTACACGATACCTAAATCAAGGCATTATATTTTATTTATACTTTACACGATATCTATATCAAAACATTATATTTTACACGATATCTATATCAAGAGATTATATTTTACACGATATCTATTTCAAGAGATTACACTTTACACCTTATCGGATACAATATTCATCATGGTATCTGTATTAAAGCATTCATAACACGATATCTTTGTTTATATATCATATTTAACACGATATCTATATCTAGGAAGTATATTTAACACGATGTTAATATCGAGACATGATTATTTGACACGATATCTATCTCGAAACATTATATTTTACCAGACGTGTATATCTAAAAAGAAGGAAAAGATAAGAAAGAAGCAACTACATGTATATTTTAAAAGCATTACTACTTGGGTTCGCAAAAAATCCCCTACCAGCTGGTCATTGACCATCCCTCTGTACCAGCGTACTTTCTCACGTCGACCAAGACATTAAATTTAACACGGTATATATATCAAGGCATTACATTAAGCACGATGTCTATATCTAGTTTTGTATCAATATTGAAATTCTATTCCGTCTAAACGATCAAACATTTGTTCAAAACATCGTCATATATTTGTATGATCGTCTGGACGACTTTCTCAACAAATTTGAACATTATCAAACATGTTTGACATTGTTAAAATATTTAGCTACATGTTTCAGCTATCTAACAAATGTTGGCATTATTTAAATTAGTTATCAGTCTTTTACAAATCAGCAGTCGTATACACGTCATGACTGCCTTCACACATGACTTTGCTTTCAAAATAGCAGCCAGTAAGACCTGACCCAAGCTGATCTCTTCTTTGATCCAGTCCCCGACCCCTTGGGGAACCGTTCGAGCTCTTCTTTTTCACCTTTGCCGATGTAGAATTGTCAAAATAATAATTGATGCAGCAGTATCACTAAACAGACTGCTTTGAGCATCCAAATCATGTTGACTTATTTTTCATCCAAAAATAATATTTTCTCTCCATACTCTGTCAACATCATTTAATGTTGGATCATGTTTGATGATGTTTGACAGTGTAGACAGATATCCAAAACTTGGTCAAACAAATGTATTATGATGTTTTGAACAATTGTATTGTGTGGACGGGGCTTAAGATCGGGATCAATCCCTACTTATGAAATTCATTTTATTTTTATTAGAACAAAAACATTTCATTTAAAACTCTTCATTTAGACAAGAATATAGATATGAAATTTTACCATAAAAAGGGGCATACATCGAGACCTTTAATACACACTCTTCAATTCGAAAAAATTAAAGCAAAATTTATTCCGCTGCTGAAAACAATATCTCTTAAATGTTTCAGATACCATGAGACAAGAACATAATTTCACTGGTTACCACTTGTTCTCACTGCGATTTAAATTGCTTTGTGCCAAAATCTAAAATTTGGAACCAAACCTTTGAATATGAAATAAGACTAACAGTGATGAAAATGCTAAACATGTAGAAGGCTCAATGAGTTATCAAATGCAAATGAAAGCTGTTGCAACAAAACATTTCAAAGTAAAAAATCTTGTCGAAAGAGCTTTTAACACGAGGGATAGGTTAGGTATAACATAGAAGTGTATTCGTACTTTGGGATAGTATCGGTAATTGATACGGACTGTACAGACCCCAGACGATAATAATAGAAATCAAATTGTCTGATTAAAATAAAGTTAGTTTAGAGAGAATCTATATATTAGACTTAATTCCCTCGATGAGACTTAGATTACAATCTTTCATTTGCTGTTAAACCGTAAAGTAAACCCATTTATTCTTTTACAGCTAATTTACAGTTTCCACATCAAATTTACTAGCGATAGATTTATAGCTTTGTAATTCTATGGGGATTATTCCATACTCAGCTAGATACGTTACAATTATACCTATTCAAAGTCATATAAATTGTTAATGATACAGTACTAATTTAAAGAAATCCAGCCTTTGTACTAGAATACATGAAATTCAAGGCGTTTCACAACTCCCTTGGGAATATTACTAAATAAATAAAGTTCCTTGTAATCTACACCCACTTACTACTAAAATTGACAAATCTTATCTATCTTATTAAATACCATCTAAATGTTTAAATTTTATAAATTTCTACTCGTACAAATACATCAAATCTGCTATATAAAGGGGGCTAATCCAAATTACGACAACAAGTGAAGGTTATGAATTGATCAAGTGAAAGGCATTTATTGTCACCACCAACCATAAAACCAAGACGTCACAAGAGTAAAGTTGAAATGAGCCAGGGATTGCTCCAGTAGTGTGAAGGCTGAAAAGATTGGGAAGGTTGGGGAGTATCTCCATCTCCAATTCCGAAGAAAGTATTGTTTCACATTGGTCTATACACTGGGGCGGATTCTAGAGAATAAATCCATAAGAAAATGATGGACTTAGTTCAATTAGCAAAACTCAAGTTCCCTGCAGCCTCCTTGTTCATCACACAATACTATTCTCCAGAGGTCTTCAACTTCCCCATCCCCCGTCAGCTACTAATTTGAGAAGATTAAATGACCTTCTCTACCATAAACCACCCCCTGATGCAAAAATCACACCACGTTACAATGAAATGACCCTGCCAAAGCTATTTATTATCCATGGGTACATTTAAACTAAACGCTAGGAGGAAACTCAAACTTTGTCAAACCGTCGTGAATCTAAGCTCGCGAACGTTTTCTCCCCTAGAACAAAGAGATCAAATGATCAAAAAATTCTAGTGCAAAAATCATTTTTATCAGATTCTTTGCGTCAACGCCATATATATACACTACCGAATATCCGTAAAAATGGTGCATAGCCAATGCAATTCCTTGTGACCATGGCCAGTGCTTCTACAGGAGAGTATCATCTATAACACTCAACACTGTTTTAAATATAAGTATATCTTGAGGCTAAGATTATATTAAGCTACTTTCTCTTGCATTTGACAATATTTATACCCTCCTTTTTCTATGTAGCTACGGGTTTGATTGGATTTATGGTATACCATATTTTACACTGTGTTTTGAATTTCAGATTGACTACATTTATATTGTGATATTCATGCATCATTTTGCATTTCTGATGGACTGTATTTACACTGTGTCTTGAATTTACACTATCTCTTTAATTTATGGTATACTATATTCATACTGCATTTTGAATTGTGTTGGACTATAATTATACTGTGTTTTGAACTTACTCTGTAAAAGTATCAATAAGAGACAGGGTAAAGCAGGTTTAGAACTATCTACTGCCACTAGAGTTGAATAGAACAAGCCATAGTTACATGATAAGAAACTACTTTATTTTTAAGACAACAGAAGAATAAACTATTATAGTAGTAAAAATATAATGACCATATAAATCTACCTGTACATAACATAGACTTTTTCAAAAAACAATAGTGACATGAAAAATTATTGTGTAAATTTGCTAGAAAAGTATCGAAAAGAAATTTGGTCATGTAATTTTTCTCACTTTAAAATAAAAAGTAAGAAGTAAAATTACAGGTAAGACAAGATTATGTTGATAACATTGCATCATCATTGATAAATTCTCGATTAAAATACAAACATTATCTGATCATCATTTTGTAACATAAGTAATAACATCCAATACAAAATCTCAACACATACGAATACCAATGTAGAATAGATCTATATTTGTTTTGAGCATACAAATATTAAACAAATTAAGTACTTTAACGTTACTATCAATACCCTGTCACTACATATTATCACAGGATACAGATTTAATTATAAAAAATATACCTGACCAAAAAATTGATAAAAATTCACAACACATATCATATGGAATGTCTAATTTAGAAATATTCTATTTTAAGGCACATTCTGAAATATGTATTAGGCATAAAATATCACATTATGTATACTCATAGACTGTGTATTCAAGTGTAAATTTTTAATATTTGCTATCAAATCAGTAGGCTACACAGTTGTCATGTTGCATTTATAAACATCAATAAAACTTGTAAAGAGAATAAAAAGAATAAAAACAACAAATCTATCTACAGTATTAAAAGATATGTAAAGATAATGAACAAATGTCATGAAATAAGTACTAAGGTGGTTCAAAAATTACAGTATGTTATTGATCTGTTGACTACCAAACTGTAAATTGCTGTTCCTGTCATCTGTGCCTAGCTTTCACCATTTCCCTAAGTAGGGAGAATTAAAGTAGGTCAATTTTGCTTCATAACAATCAAATTCTTAGCTCATGATTAACAGGTGTTAACACCACTCATATTGAGACCTGACTTTTTAGTTTGATGGCAGTCAACATGTTACCAAAAAACAAAAACAGGGGGTTAATAAATTTGATTTCAGACATAAACCGGTATGTTATTTATATATCAAAAATTCAGATATTCGTTAAAAATTGCCCAACAGCTCAACATTATACGGAGATACATTGGTAAAATATAGTATTAGATAGCAAAGATGATACTAAGTAGAACACAGATCAATGCTACAGCTGTAAGGCTGGCTTTATTCCAATTATTAGCCATGCTGGATGAACAACCCACGCAACCATCTCCTTTACACATATCACAGAAATCTACACTTTTCTCAGCAATATTATATAAAACAGATGTCTCAATTTCTGAAAATAATGTTATAATAAGTTACTTAATTATATACAAGTAAAAGACATAACAAGTAATCTTCTAAATTATCCATTTACTTCCTTTATATTGGTTGAAAATAACACTAAAATGATTTAAGTTCATAAGAATAGAACATAAATTCTTGTCAACAAAGGACTTGAAGGATTATTGTTACAATACTATACAATATATGTGTTTTACCTGTTTGATAATAGGCTTTAGCAATAATTGGTGCATCTTGTATATTCTTTACATCTTGAGTCTGCATTAATTCAACATTAAAACAGCTTTCTGATTCCGGTATCTACAGAAAAAGAACACAAAATAGGTATGTCTCAAAGGCTTTGGCATCAAATTTGTATCATTCCTGCGACAGGTACAATCATGTCTTATAGTATAGAATATATGCATTAGTAACAAACTTTGACAAGCATAATGATACTTCTTATCTATTCTGACAACTTTTATGACCAGAACATAGACACCGTAGAAATATTTTCATCCTTCAGTGTGGTTTTATCAATTTATAGACATTTGTTAGAATTTTCAGAAAAAAATAGTTTAAATTACAGTTTAGATGTGGCAAGACTTGAAATGTCAATAAAGAACTTACTTTATCAAGGTAAAGATGTAAAGCTTCATCTTTTTCTTCAACACGTTTGATTTGTTTGTTCTTTTTCAGTTCTTCAACATTAGTGGGTGTATTACCACTGGGCATGTCAAATGATATCATACTCATACCAATATCTTCAGCACATCTAGAGATAAATAATTTTCCTTACAGATTGAATATTCATAATAGGTATTCTAATTAAAAACCTTTATCCTGATGACTGCTGGCAGACAATACTGTCTATCAGCTATAAATCTTTCAGTTGATATACTACAACATCAATCAAAATAAGCTCTACTAAAATATTCACTGTGTCAGATGTCAATAGCTATTTAGGACATGCTCAACATTCTAGAATATGTTATGCCACTCTATAAATAGGTATTGTTATTTTCAACCTCACAAAACAAACTATGTTGGTATATCAATATTTTCTTTTCAATGAAAGGTGTTGTAAATAAATCATAAGATACATCCATTATCCCAGATAAAATTATACCTAAACTTTTCACTATCTTATAATTTTTAACAAGTTTGAATGGTTGGACTTGTTGTCAAAATAAAAATTTCATACAATGAACTAAGATAGCTTGCGTTGAAATGTAACATACGCCCAGAAATAATAAAACAGTCTTTAGTGACTAAAGTACGAATTTTCTCATATTGAAGAAATTTTATTAGTTTGAATTGAATTACATATATATATATGCCAGTTATTTATGCTGAGTAATTCCACAAAATTTTTTAAAATCAATATCAATAACCCAAATACAACAAACAATTAAATCACACAGCTCTAATCAAGGGCAAAAAACAACTTTCGATGCGTTTTAACAAAGTCAAGGGCAATAACTCAAAAACCGTTCATCGAAAATGCGTCAAGTAAGAACTTGTCCGAGATCTTATCAATTCCAATGATCACACCAAGTTTCATCAGAATCGGTTGAAAACTGTAGCTTCAATGCTGCTCACGAACTACTTTTAACAAATTTCAACACTTTTTAACAAAGTCAAGGGCAATAACTCAAAAACCGTTTATCAAAAATAAGTCAAGTTAGAACTTGTCCGAGATCTTATCAATTCCAATGATCACTGCAAGTTTCATCAGAATCGGTTGAAAACTGTAGCTTCAATCCTGCTCACAAACTATTTTTAACAAATTTTGACGTGTTTTTACAAAGTCAAGGGCAATAACTCAAAAACCGTTCATCGAAAATGCGTCCAGTTAGAACTTGTCTGAGATCTTATCAATTCCAATGATCACACCAAGTTTCATCAGAATCGGTTGAAAACTGTAGCTTCAATCCTGCTCACAAACTATTTTTAACAAATTTTGACGTGTTTTTACAAAGTCAAGGGCAATAACTCAAAAACCGTTCATCGAAAATGCGTCCAGTTAGAACTTGTCTGAGATCTTATCAATTCCAATGATCACACCAAGTTTCATCAGAATCTGTTGAAACTGTAGCCTCAATCCTGCTCACGAACTATTTTTAACAAATTTTGACGCGTTTTAACAAAGTCAAGGGCAATAACTCAAAAAAAGTTCATCGAAAATGCGTCAAGTTAGAACTTGTCCGAGATCTTATGAATTCCAATGATCACACCAAGTTTCATCAGAATCGGATGAAAACTGTAGCTTCAATCCTGCTCACGAACAATTTTTAACAAATTTCAAGGCATTCTAAGTCAAGGGCAATATCTCAAAAACCGTTCATCGAAAATATGTCAAATTCGAACTTGACCGAGATCTTATCAATCTAAAGCATCACACCAAGTTTTATCAAAATCAGATAAAAACTGTAGTCTCTATAGTGCTCACAAGAAATGTTGACGGACCGACGGACAGGGGCGACGACAATATACGACCACATATTCATGTGGGCGTATAATAACAAAACTTACTTCACACAAGCTGAGACCACAGATTGACCATTGGATACTATATTGGTGCTTGCTCGTAGAATAATAGGTGCCTTATTTTGACCATTTTGTGGTAAGAGAGAAGGTATAGGTGTTTTAGAGTGATATCTCCACATAACCTACAAACATTTCAAATCTAACAGTATTTTCTAAAATTCCACAAAACATGCTAATTAACTCAGGAAACCAAACTCTGACAACTTCAGAAATTTAGTTTTGATTTTCAAAAACATTTTCTGGTATATTTAATTATGCAGAAAAAATTGAGAAGTTGATTATCTCAAGTGACAGGATAAATGATTATAGCATTTTGCCCAATTATAATAATCATGATGTCAATCAGAAACACTCTCAATCTAAATATAGTTTAAGTTTACCTTGACTATAGCAGTACCACTTCCAGTAGCTCTTACTTTAACATTTCTAGAATCATCAGACAACTACAAGAACATCATTAATATTACATTAACTAACATCATCATTTTATATCAAACTTTAGACAAGGTGATGATGTACCTATTGTACTAGTAACAATGAGAAATAGTAAAATAACTATTTGAAAATCAAGACCACACCCATTTTTATTCACCCATAATATATCATAATGGATCTGTTGGTAGTGAGTTACATGGTCTAAGACGTCTCCTCCCAATGGAAAACCAGTCAAAGATAAATCTAACTGATGGCCCTTTCCCTTTTAATAAATATCATATTATTATTTTTAATGAGGAAAAAGAATTTAGGAAAAATCAAGTACAAAAACTTACAACTACTGATTGTAAAATGAGAGAATTGTCCTTATTAACAGTGAAAGTTTTCTTTAAACCATTAGCATCTACATTAACAATCATGTCTTTCTCAGCACTAGATGTTTTCTTGGCAAAGGATGCTAGAGCTTGTAAAGTAACAACGGTGTCCTATAACATAAAATACAATAATACATACAAATAGTAAGGAAGAATGAGATTATAATAGTGATGGGCAATCGGAAGAAAATAATAATCGATGAATCGAAATAATCGGAGAGGCATAATTAATTACATAATCAAGTAATAGTCGAAACATACCACATGTTTTGTTTGTGGAAATTCTTACGAAAATGGATACTTATAACTTGTTATTATTTTGTTACAAATAGAATTGTCATATTTCGATCGTTAAATGATGAAGCATGAGTTTTTGCAAATAGGCTGTTCTTCTCTACCCCTCTGAAATATCATCTGCTATCCACTTCAGTTTAATACTAAGTAACAATCATGCCCCATTTGTGTTTGTGCCGAATCTCAGTCATCTAGAAAAACTAATCAAAGGTGTGACTCATTGTTTTAGGTACCCAATCTTATAATAAGTTAAGTTTTATTTATTATTAGAATATTTGTAATTATCAACACAAAACAAACAAAAAACCAACAAGACTCTATTTTTATATCATTGGTTTATGTCGCAGACTTTCAGTTGGGAATCGTTTAGTAACATTGTTGGACTTTCAACGACCGATAATTAATCGTTGCTGACAATCGGAACATCACTAGTTTATGATAAACAATAAACTTACTTGTGAAGAATGATAACCACCAAAACTATTTTGTTGTGACATCAACCACTTGACAGTAGGTCTTGCTTCAGCCACTCTATCTAATTCACATAAACTCAATAAAACATAAGCCCAAGTTTCTACATCTGAAGCTGTTGCTTTGGGTGGATGGTAAGGTGTTATCCTAATGTCATCAGTTACAGGACTTTTAGTGGTAACTGTATCAGTTCTGGACCATGGTTTTTCAAAATTAGCATCTGAAACCAGTGTCATATATTTAGAAAATATAACTTCATAATCAAAACTTATATTAAATAGGAGAGTTTAACTTCAAAATCAGTTGAATTAACAAATATAATGCCAAAAAAATAAATTAAGCTAAATACTGGGTACATTACAATTTCTGCAGTCACACTTTCAAAGACAATCTTGTCTAACAACTAAGATGTAAAAAATTTGCCGGCATATTTTGTTACCTCAGAATAAAAAAGAACACATACATTCAATTCATATTTTGAAATTTGCAATAATGTTTTTCCAAAACACTTCATTTAAATCAACCAGTTATATTGAAGATTGAAGAAAATTAAAAATAGCTTGCCAGGAAAGGTAATATATGCCCACTGGCAGCTTTGATTTTGAATCAAAATATTTTGCACTACAGTAATAATTAACAGTATGAAATATTCAACCTTCAGTCATACACTTCTTTTGAACTTTTTGAGGCGATACTGAATAATATTACCAAGTTTCATCAAAATCCGTCCAGATTTGTGCCTTCTGGAAAGTTTACAGGCTAAAACTAGAACGTGTTTTTAAGGGCAATAGCTCAAACTAAATATTTTTCGATTCTTCTGATTTTCGACAGGGTTCATCCTTGGTTGATAACAAACACTCACACCAAGTTTCGTCAAAATCCATCAAGAATTGTGCCTTCTAGAGTGTTTATGGGCTAAATATTGAAAGCTTTTTCAAGAACAAGGGCAATAACTCATACTAAATATTTCTTCGATTTTTCTGATTTTCAATAGGGTTGCTTCTTGGGTGATTACAAACAATCATAAGTTTCGTTAAAATCAGTCAAGAATTGTGTCTTCTAGAGTGTTTACGAGCAATTGTGGACGGACAGGCGGATATGGGTGACAACAATATATGCTTCACATTTCATATGGGCATATAAAATCTGTTGATCTTAGTCAAGCTTGCTCTTTACATTTTTCCTTTCAAAAAATATATTTTTAAAAATGTTTATAACAAATATCAATAAAACACATGATAGAACATACCCATTAACTGATTCAATAAAACATTGGCTTTAGGACTCTTAGCTAATGTCAAACCATAGAGAATGATAGCTTTTTCATAGGTTCTGGAAATTCCATTTTTGTCAACAAGCCCTTCTAGATAATTTATGCTGCCCCGTGTAGCTTGTTCATATAATGTAGGCTGAAAAAGCAAATAGAATTGGTTGAAATTATTCGTTACTAACTTTAATAAAAACAATTTCTGTTACATTGCTTCCATCAAAGCAACTGAATTGTATTCTTCCAAAATATTGATTACCTTTCAAGATTCTCTTCTTTAAACACTGTAATGAAATAATATATAATAACAAGACAAAAACTTACATCAATATGATCTTTACTTTCCAACATAGCTGTTAAAACAAAGGCTGTGAGACCTTTATTATCTCTACCAGCACCTCCCTATAAAATATATCAGTATCATGTTCATTAATGAATTTCATAATCAGATATAGATTTAAATCATAACCCTATTTTAATCATCTTAGTCACTCTTCTAAATCTCACAGTTCTACCACTTCACGTTTTATTGAATACAATTTTCTTATTAAAAAATAAAACCGAGTCAAAAATAAAGAACCATACCAACATCTCCGTATGAATAACTCGTCCTGGTTCATTAAATGATCCGTTTTTGTTGAGCTGATTCTTTAAGAACTGAACAGACTTGGATTGTATAGAACTATCAACTGTAATATAGCTACTGGCCTGTGTATACGACTTTAATACAAAGGCTGTTAACCTGAAATCATCACAATACCCAATAAACCAGCAAAGTTTAAACATGTACTTTATATAATATATATGCCCCAATAATTCATTGAAACTGTTTATTATTATCATTATTATCACCACAATACAAGTTATATCAATATATACAGATATCATTGTAGGCTTACTTGATAGTGTGATTCAATCTGAAATGGCTGTAGTTAGCTAAGATATATCCTTAAACCACTCTCTTTATCATATTAAAATATATAACGAAAATAACATAAAAGTAGAGTTATAAACCTACCATGTACTACCAGATTCATCAGATTCACCAAAAGCACTGAATGAGCCATCTCCATGTCTATATTTCAACTCTCTTTGATATCCTAAATAATAAAGTTTAATACTGGGTTTGAAGAAAAGTAATACCTTATGGACATCAATTGTAACAACCAAGATAGTTTGACTATCTCCCCCAGAAATTGTCAAACATACAGATATAAATAAACATTGCTATAAACAATATTGTAAATTGTTATTTTATGTATCTTTTCTGTCTATAAAATGGTATTGCTTGTTTAATTGTGCTGTGAATTTCTATTTTCCCATCCTAAGCAGCTACTGGTTGATCTTGTTTCTCCAATCCATTGTTTAACTCATATAATTTTCCAAGACTTAATCAAAATAGATTGACAAAAATATAGCTCCCATGGATTTTGACTGTTTTGTTGTTAAGTAAAAGTGAGATTGGTTAAAACATGCTTAGGGTGGTATCCTAATGATTGAATGCTCTCCCTGAATGAGAGACTGTTCTTAAGTTTGAATGTATCAAAATCAGACATACCTCTCTGCATATTTTTGACTGATCTAGATCTAATATCTTCTGTAATTTTTCCAACACTTGTAAGATAATCACATACATATATATTAGGTACAAAGGAAATCATATTCTGTTCTCCACAACCATATGGTACTTGAAGTAATTTCTCTAATCCATCTAATGCTGGTCCCATTACATCTCCTAATAACAAGAGAAGGTTGTCAATATATATAGATATGTAACAATGTTAATAATAGTTCAGTGATTCCATCTATCATAACTTATACTTTTTTACAAGAAAAATGAATATTGCAGAGTTATCAAAATGCATACTTAAACACTGATTGTGAGTTCCAACCAAATAGCTAGTCAAATGGACCACTGTAGTTTTGTAAAATTAATATTATCATAATGTATACACTCTGTACAGGGATAATGAAAAAGACATAAAATTTTTAAAATTTTCAGGATGTGCATACATTGAATTTCAATTCAACATACAGGTAATTTCTTCAAAATAAAAATCACTATCAGTAATACATAATTCATGGATAGAACGACCAGCAAATCAGCAGATTTTCTGTGAATCAAGTTATTACCTGTAACTTGGACTTCAGCACGTCTTGAGCCAGATACAACATCTATAGGGTACCAAATATCAACCTCATCATCATAGGCTGTTGTTTCACTTAAATCAACGTAGAATGATGTGGCATTCATCATCTTAAAACCTTCAGGCTGTAAAACAATATAATATCATCAAAAAATAGAAGAAGAGAATTTTCTGTACAGCTCAAGGAAGCAAATCATGTGTTATTCTAAGCCCAATTCTTACTTATCACAGAAAGTTACACTTGCCAAAGTGGAAAAAAAATCTTGCACAAAAAATAAAAACTACTTTTGAATATATATTATTCAAGATGTCATTAACCCTACAATACCTCTTTTACTTAAAAATACATGATAAATACCAATATAATGTCATTTAGCCATGAGGACTCTCTGATATAAGAACATAGAATTAGTTTTGGTATTTTGATAGTCCTCAACAAAACCAAATAAAATATTTCTATAAAAATCAGGGGCCCACCTTAACAAAGACCGTTTTATCAACAGCATCACCATCTTCTCCACTACTCTGTGGTGGTTGAGCTTTCACTGAGACAGTTATATCACCAAGTTTCTTCGGTTGAATTCGGAATGAAATTGTCTTGACACTATCACTCTTCACCTAAAAACAATGAAAAGTATGTTTTATCAAATACCCTACAGTAGATACTAAGATGGATTATTATCTATAACTAGCAATTGATGGTAATATTTACAACTAAGAGTTATATTCTTTGTATATAATCTTCATAATATCAAGCTATTACAAACTGTGTCTTTGATTTTGAAGCCAGCTTTCATGTATCATGGAATGCAATGATTTAATTTGATTTGATTGTGCGACAGCAAAAACAGCCAACCAGAACCCTCGACTGAAAGACTGTTTACATTATTCCTTTTTGTTTTTTTACAGATTTTCAGTCGAAGGCTCTGATTGGCTGCATTTGTTAACATACATTTCCATTTACAAACTTCCATGATGCAATAATTGTGGCTATTGCAGTTAAGGTATAGGAAGCAAATTCAAATAGCTTGACATTGTGAAGATGTATTTATATGTTCCAAATGTTTCTTTAAGTGGCTCTGTGTATGATTCAGTAAGATGAAAACCTTACTAATATAGTTTCTATCATCTCCTCACTAACATACTCTTCATCTAAACTATTGGAATTCAATACAGCAAAATCATCTGATCTTTTTAATGTTACAACAACCTAAAAATAATCAAATAGTGGAAATTCTGATCTTAATCACAGAAAGTTCAGAACAGCTTCTAGTATTTCAAAGATATATCAGAAGAGAATTGATTGTTCTCATCTGACCAATAAAAAGTCTGGGTTATTATAAGCTTGGTGATATGGCACAGCGTTTGAGCATCAGAATAGGCAAAAAAATAACACAATTGAAAAATTTAAAGGCAAGTTTTTAAGTATCCCCTAAGTCACCTTCCAAGGTAGTCCTGGTCAAACCTGTTTAGACAATAAATAATAATGTTGTTTATGGTTAATAAACATAATTTGCTAAATAGGTAGCTAAATAACAATAAAACTTACATTAATATCTTGTTTCAGATAGTTACTGACTGAAGCCAACAATTCAAAATTCTCACCACGTCTTATGGAATATGGCAAATTCAAACTCACAAAGAATTTTTGGAAGGCATTCAACTAAAATAAAAATCATCCTAGTCAGAATTGTGTGATAGTTTCTGAAATTCATTCATGAATGACCTCTCTTGAAAATATAAAAAAGAAACAAAATGGTAGCTTTTTTTTTAAATATAAAAGGCCCCCAGATTATTATGAACTGAACAAATAACTGAATAAGACATTCAGTACACATGATAATCATATATAAAATATAGTTTTCAGTAAGGTGAAAATCACCATACAACTTACTTTAGCTGGTGTAGTTGTTAAACCTAGACCATTAGTAGGACTAACAGAGAAAGCAGTAGCAAACCAAGATGTTATAGTATCTGGTACTCTCGATGAAAACACAAATTCACCATTTAATCTGAAATAAAAAAACATATTTCTGATTTGAAGTGGTATGGAAGTCTTATCTGTACCAGCTGATAGAACTGAATATAAACTTTCAACGTTATGTTATTACATGTAACTAGACTCAAGTAAAGGGTTAGTAAGAAGCGAAGTATATTTCATTATTGTTGCTGGTAATTTTTGCCAAGAGATTCAACAGTCAAACCTTCATTGTAATAATAATACTTTCATTCCAATGTCTATACCTCAAATATAAATACCAACTTACCCTGTTTTACCACTCTCCCACAGCCATGTTTCAGGGAAATATTTACGAACATGTTTGACTTCAGCCAGTTTTTGAACTGAACCACCAACACCCATTCCTGCATTAGGAGCTAAAATAACAACAACAAAAATAGCATGAAAAAATACTTCATTATAGTACTAGATCATAATCAATCGTTATCAATTCATTACATTTTTTCTTTCCATTAAATTAAGTTTTCAAAAAATAAATTTAAACTTGTATGTTCTTAATTTTTGAAAAGATTGTTATAAATGAAAAAAGAGAAGATATCACTCTTCAGCTAGTAAAATAATCAGCTGTGTGAAGGGTGGTTAGTTAAAGTAGGGTTAGAAGCAGGGTTAGGTAAGTATACTAGATGATGCACCATCACCACATCAAACCTTATTAAGTTTTATAACATATACTTCACAAGGTGAGCCTATAGCATGCAATTAGATATGGAATAAAATATTGTTTTATGTTAATGACATCATTTAAATGAATTTAAATACCAATGATGATTGACTACAACTAAAATGATGGTCTAAAACTTCTGAAATACAATTATTAACTATTGAACTATTTTAAAACTTGCTTTATCTAGCATCTTTTTTAAGGAATACAACATTAAAATAGCTTGCACAACAAGTTATAGTAAAGGAAACTTCTAAAAATAAAACACAACAATTGTTTTTGTTACAATCACGTCTGGTTAGATACACATGCTATTCTCAGCCAAAGCACATGCTCTACTGTAATTAATAAAACTGATTTCTGATAGAAGTATTGAAATAAAGACTTGCCACTATATACAATAGCAAACTTTTATTTCTTTATCTCCATTTGCAAATCTGATTAAACTATGTGTAGAAATTTTAAGTAGAAATGTTAACATTGAAAAATTCATTTGAAATACTACAGTTCTTTTGAATTTCTTTCACATGCAGTGATAAGGTTTTTTTTTCAAAAAAAAAATACGCATATATGCATTTCAGTCTGCTATAAAATTAATCAAATATGGGAGAAATAATTTTCACAGCTCAAACTGAATACCTGGACCATTATCGGCAAAATCAACCATTACATCATCCATATCTTCATAATAAAATGGATTAATTTCTCTATAATACACATCTATGTCAGTCATATATTGTGTATTGATTGCCTACAATAAAACATTAATAATTAATTAGAACATAATAGATTATTTTCCTCTTTTCTCCAAAATCCCTTTTCTGTTTGAAAATAGCTGTAGAGAATCTGTAAGATAAAATCTGCTATTAAAGGTCACAATGTTAGGAAATAATAAATATTTGATATATATAATGTTAACACAACATCAAACAGAGGATACAAAGATATAGAGTAGAATTCAATTATCTAACAAGGTACATTATGTCCCATTGCATTTTGTAAGTTCGTATTCCTTGATTCTCTCCAATAATAATAACAGGCTTTTAAACACTGATAAAAAGTATCGTAGGGTAAAGAATTTTCTTAAGGAATTTCTACAAAATCTAAAATTCTAAAAAAACAGAAAATAGTACCATTTTAAATTCCAACAATGAAAATTAATTAGACATTTGTTTTCAGAGACAAGGTATGAAGTGAAATGAAGAAAAAAACTTTCTATTACCAATAGATGAGTGGATGCGATGTGAAATCATATTAAAGTAGTCAGGAACAATAAGGTACCTGTGTTAAAAGAATTTTTATTTTCAAGGATGGAGACAAAAGTGAAGGTCAAAGACATTCAGCTGTACAATAAAAATACAACTTTTTTGAGGTTACAGCAAGGTCTCCATACTTGTTAAGAAAAGTTATAAAGAATTAAGAAGAATTGTGTTTTGAGATCACTCTCTTATGGGAAGGGAATTACGTGGATTTAGTCAGAGTGATACCTGGTTGTTTGTCTGCTTCCGGTCTCATTTCTAACATGTCATCAACAGGAAATGGGTATTTTGTTGTCTCTTTTAAATCCATATCGGTAATATACTGCACTCCATTAGCCTAAGAAATTTTTATTGTTTAATTAGAGATCGGTGCCTGCCATAAGCAATCATTTCATGATAAATAAATTTTCAAAAAGTTAAAAAAAAGAAGAAATAGAGAAATATAAAAAGATAGTGGATCACAGCCATATACGCCCTTCATGGCATGCAGATGGTAAAAATGAAACATCCATTTTAACTTTCATCAAAATCGGTTAATAACTAAGAGGGTAATAGCATATTCAAGATTTTGGGGCAAGGGCAATAACTCTGCTTTTAACGGTCGAAAATAGCTCAAATTCGAACTTTTTTTTACACTTTAGAGTGTTTACGAGCAATTGATGTTGATAGAAGCACTTACTGTCTAGAAGTTAAAGGGCAATAACTCCTCAAAACTAACGTAAGAGGCCTAAATCTTGAAAAAGCCTTAAATTTAATAAAGAAGTAAACTAAACTTTCTCAATAACATCCATTTTAAGTTTCATCAAAATCGGTAATAGCATATTCAAGATTTTGGGGCATGGGCAATAACTCTCTTTCTAACGGTCGAAACGGACGGACGGACAGGGTGTCGACAATATACGTCCACATAGAGAGATGTGGGCGTATAAAAAATATTTCAACAATGTTCATAAAAATGAGAAAAAATTCAAAAAACGTTTTTTTTTGCTGAGACAATCTAATAAATATCAACAATTCTAAAATTGAAACATATTTGATAAAAACCTGGAGAAATAAAATGAAAAGAAAAATGATTTCCACTTAGAATGTCAATGCTTGTAGCATCAGAAGGACGAATACCATACATTCTGATCTAGAAACATAAAAATACAATGAGAATCCATTATTTATCATTAATTAAGGTTTTTTTATCTGAACTTCATCTTCAAGAAATGAAAAAAGGTTAAAATTTTAGAGCTTTTTTATTCTTACACTATATGCTAATGATAATATACAAATTCAATATACTAGTTTACACACTATATATAAAGGAATGAAAGGTGAATATTGTCTTGTTAACTGTGTATGCTTGAGGACGCAGGAGTAGATTAATTCAAAAAGTAGATAAAAATTTAACCAATGATTATCGTTTCTAAAACTCAAAATATAATTTGTTTTTCTGTTGTTTTAGTGCATGTAATTGATATCAATGTAAATGGTGAAGATTAAATTAACATTGACAGTAAGACATGTCTTTATAGTGTTAATTTACTAATCATTCAAATATTACACCTTCTAAAAGGCTCACACACCATATTATTGTAATGACTAGCATGACTTTATTATATGGAGCAACCTAGTGTCACTAGCAATATGTACAAGCAAAGATAATGCAAGCATAAAATCTAAATCACTAGGAGTTAAACTTAACATGGAGCAGATATGAATACCTTTTGCTGACTCCATTATATCACAGTTAGGACATCCACCTGCAGCGTTAGCTCTGAATAATACACGGCGCTGTTGTATTTTTTTCACTATGACATCAGTTAGATATATTAAGTCAGTAGCCTGTCAAAATAAAATAGTCTTAAATTAAAGAAAAAAAATCAACATACACCAGCTGAAATAAATAGAAATGAAATCAGTTGTTGTTCAGTTCTACAGTATTTACCACGATAGATAATACTAACTGAAATATTGGTATCAAAAACTACCTCCATCTTAAAGGGCTAGATTGGTCTATTTTCAACATGAAGAATTACGCTAATTATGCATGAAACTATGTCTTAACCTTGTATATAAATTTACCTGGCCACCACGGAATCTCGTAAATAGTTTCTTAGCATCTGGGAAATGAATCCCAAGACTACGGACATGCGCAGAAGGATCACTACTTTTATTCATCTACCTCAGCTTCCTGTTGGAAATATCTGTAGTTAACGCTGATTGGTTCAATTGGTCCAATCAAAATTGAGATCTCATAATCATAGATATCTAAAAATAACATGCTCATAATTGGGTAGTCGCAATTTACCAGAACAGTAAAAATGGAGGCTACGAGATATAAAATACTTACGTAAGCGTTTGAGAACTATTTTATCGATTATGACTTAACGCTTGTAATTTCACGTTATAAGGGGCATCTTCCTCTACGGCATGAAGTATTATGTATTTCACAATCAAGACCACAAAAACTCATTGAGTTTCTAAGTCAAAAATAGCACCAGAATTGATCACAAATATTGATGATTTAGAATATAGCATGGTATTTACACAGGATAGGAGAACACTCTGACATTATGATTCATGGCTTTTTTTCTTTTTAATTTATCTATCATACATTTTTTTTACATAATACCAGGCAATAACTAGGCACTGTACTAGCAATAAATATTGATTTGAAAACCTAACAATGCCAATAACTTACTATCAGCAAAAATATGTTTAGAAAAGCCTTATATGTAATCATTTAAAGTTTAGAAATACCTTAAAGTAGGCTGTATCCTTTGTGTATATCATTAAGATGGTTTTACAGTTTACACACAGGCTAAAAATCCTAATTCTGCCTCTTGAAAACTGTATCTTGTAGTAAAACTAGCCCCAGGACTAATAATGACAGGCTTAAATTTTATCAAATAAAGTAAGGAAAATATCGCTGAAAAGTTTCATAATAAACATGACAATTTCCCAAAACAACTCAAGTTCTATATTAAGTTCGTGCAAACACAAAACATGAAGTCAAAAACTGGAAAAGAAAAAACAACTTTATCATAACTGGATTTTAAACTTATTCTAACAAACAAAATCAGTATTCAATGGTAACCAATACATTACAAAACTAGAACTGTTCTAATAACAGTACTGATGCAGGGCGGGTTACGACATTCAGGTACATACGAAGATGGTCTATTGCAATTATTTTATGTAAATACCTTTCTGCATCTCTAAATGCAAATGTCCAAAAGTGCCTGGAGTTTAAAGTATATTTACTAGGAATAAAAGAATATTTGTCAATTAATAAAGAATAAGTTTGATGAAATCCGGATAAGAAATAAGAAAGTTGGTAATGTGCATGCGCTCAACAAAAATTCAATATTTCCATCAAATTTAGAATTGAATTAAACACATACATACCAAGTTTGGTGAAATTCGGATAAAAAATAAGAAAGTCGGTAATGCGCATGCGCACAACAAAAATTAAAAATTTCCATCAAATTTAGAATTGGATTATACACATACATACCAAGTTTGGTGAAATTCGAATAAGAAATAAGAAAGTTGGTAATGCGCATGCGCACAACAAAAATTCAATATTTCCATCAAATTTAGAATTGAATTATTCACATACATACCAAGTTTTATGAAAATCGGAAAAGAAATAAGAAGGTTGGCAATGCGCACTATGCAAATTCGATAATTCCATCCAATTTAGAATTTGATTATACACATACATACCAAGTTTGATGAAAATCGGATAATAAATAAGAAAGTTGGCAATGCGCATGTGCACTTCGCAAATTAGATAATTCCATCAAATTTAGAATTTGTTTATACACATACATACCAAGTTTTGTGAAAATCAGATAAGAAATAAGAAAGTTGGCAATGCGCATGCGCACTACTCAAATTCGATAATCCCATCAAAATTAGAATTGGATTATACACATACATACCAAGTTTGATGAAAATCGGATAGTAAATAAGAAAATTGGCAATGCGCATGCGCACTATGCAAATTCGATAATTCCATCAAATTTAGAATTTGATTATACACATACATACCAAGTTTGATGAAAATCGGATAGTAAATAAGAAAGTTGGCAATGCGCATGCGCACTTGGCAAATTCGATAATTCCATCAAATTTAGAATTTGATAAAACACATACATACCAAGTTTGATGAAAATCGGATAGTAAATAAGAAAGTTGGCAAAGCGCATGCGCACTACGCAAATTCAATATTTCCATCAAATTTAGAATTTGATTATACACATACATACCAATTTTGATGAAAATCGGATAGTAAATAAGAAAGTTTGCAATGCACATGCGCACTACGCAAATTCGATAACTCCATCAAATTTAGAATTTAATTATACACATACATACCAAGTTTGATGAAAATCGGATAAGAAATGAGAAAGTTGGTAAATTAAGTGGAGGTATACCTTCAATATGCTGCCGTGAGCTTAAACTACAATATGACATGATTCAATCCACCCGAGAGCTTAATTTTATACCATAACTGGCCAAAGATCATTTTTAAGAAATATAAAAGGGAGGGTATCTTTAAAACAACTTAAAATTTGATTTCTGTTGGGGTTGACAGCAAGGTTAATCTAATTAGCCGATTTATCTAATAATAACCCCATGTTAAGTGAATAAGGTTTTGAATTTGCATGTAAAGTATGCATGTAATATATCTATGGAAAGCTGAGAATCTTTACATTACAAAATCGAAAGAATTATTGCCATATCTCTATTAGGGACCGAGATAGAGCACTTTAAAGGCTCAAAATGGTCCATATTTAGACCCCTGTAAAATCCGAAATAGGTATCTGACCCCAAAGGTCAAAAGGTCATCAGATAGACAAGGTCACAAATTATCATCACAGTAAATATGAAGGTCATCAAAGGTCAAGGTCATGTGATATACGCCTTCAAACTTTTAAAAAAACAATCCGGTCGTACAAAAAAGGCAAAACCGAAAATCAAAATTATGCTTCCTATCGTTTGTAGACAAACATTAAACAGATCGTTTGACACAAACGTTGCGCAAATCGGATTAAAAATGAATTTCGATTAATTTCGAAAAAAAAAATAAGCAACGAATTTTCGAAAATCGAAAATTTTAACTGCTATCATTTGCCCTTTGTTACAAGAAATACAATGAAAGAAACCCGATCAAAATCGGTTGATAAACATGCCCTCTAGAGGCGATTTTCTGTTTGTTGCTAGCGTCGCTTCATGTTGCTCAGAAAATTTTCGTTTTACATTCATTCCACAATTCTCCACAGGTTAGAAAACATGGTGAAATCCGTTTTGCTGTACCCGTTGCCGTTTCCGAGAACTAAGCTACCGGGATGAAGAAAAAAAATAAATAAATAAACAGTTAGAAAACAAAAATACCTTCAACTTCTACCAACTACCCTGAAAACTCTTGATTTCAAACTCACAAGGAAACAACTACCTAATCATTTAAATCATGTCAAATTCGGTTAGTTATTTCAAATCTTATTTAAAAATTTGATATTTTTTTTTAACATTGACTTTGAGGTGACTTTTGAAAAGAATAAATATGATATAACAAAGAAATGAAATAGATCAGAATTATTAATAGTATTTGAAAGAACTCAGTATAAGCCAACTATACAGAGGAGTGATGACAACTACTAGACATGAAACTAATACCTCGTTCGATACTTCTCATGATTACAGTGTTTACAGGGTCAATATTGTGTATTTCTGTTCGATACTGAGTTTATCTTGTAAACATCTTAAAAATGGAGAAAAATTGTCAACACCGATTTTCACAACTTCTTTGACCTTCACCTTGACCCTGTGTAAAAATAACAGGAACTTCAAATATAATTATTTAACACTCCCTTTCTTTGTCCACGCTGTTCAAAGTCATTCAACAGAAGTTGATAAAGTGCTTGGAATTGAAATACAAAATATATTAACGTCTCTAACACTCATCTCAGTTATAAAGTCTCAGTTATAAAGTCGTGAATATTTTCACCACAGGTATTGAACGCAGCATAAATTATAAAACCAAACCCAAAGAACTATATCCAAAAAATTTATAAATTGTTGTAAAAATAATTGTAATAGTCTGATTAAACTTTTCTAGTTTATCAAAACTATCGTTACTATTGTCTGAGCAAAGTAAAAAGTTTTTTGAATTTTTTCCATTATTTTTATGAGAGCATGAGCACACATCATGTCTTCATAATTAGTTTTTACAGAGAACAATTTTCATTTAAAATTTTTGGTTGCAATTTGTAGTAGGGAAATGTGTATCTTTTTAATGTAAACATACAAAAAATTATACTTTTAGCTATGCGAAAGCATTCGAAGACTAATAGTACCATTTTGAGGCTGACATTGCAATTTTCTTTAAAAATGTAGAAAGAAAAAAAAAAACCTTTTGCTTTGCTCAGACAATAATCAAAAGTGAATTCTAAGGACTACTACATACTAATAATAAATACTAATCTTTCTAATAATATCAATATCAAGCACATCAATTAAATGATATACCTCCTGGAAGTGCAGCTGGCATTAGTTGTGGAACCATATCATTCAATCTTTCAACCATAAATTTATTGCTAGCTACAGCAACATTTGTTATATATTTGAGACCACTAACCTAGTAAATATAATAAATTTCAAATATTCTTGAAGTAACATTTTTTTTACATGAAAACATTAAAATGTCTTAAACACTAACCACGTTTGACTTAAAATTTCTAAACACTTTATACTGACAATCACAATCTTCACCACATATCTTGTAAACAATCCCATTCTTAACCACATCATGTAAACAATCTCATTCCTAAATACATCTGAACTATCTATATCCTAAACACATGTAAACAAAGTCAAACATAAACACCTTGTGTCAATTTCAAGCGCAAACACATATCACATACCATACAACACTCTAATCCTAACCACATTATGTAAACATGTCATTCCTAAACAAATGAAAACAATCTTATTCCTTCAAAAGAGTTTATGAGCAATTGTGGAAGGACGGACCAATGTTAAAATCAACATCAGCCATAAAACCAACACCTGATAAGTAGAGGAAAATTAAAATACATCTGAATCATTAAAACATTAATATTATCTACCCAAAATATAACAAACTTTAACCACTACCAAGAATAAGTAAAATTAAATTTAACAAAAAATGAGGGTATAGAGGTAAAATGCAGCATTTTTCTAGCGAACTAGCAAATTACTAAGTAATGCATGCTAAAAATGTTGTTAGGTAAAATGTATCAAATTTCTGAAAAAAAAACCACATCCAGCCTATCAACCACATACCTGCATCAGGGGCAGCAGCAAATGCCATCCCACAATTGGCACATTCTGCTCTCTGCAGTATGGGAAACACATCAAATGTGTTCTTTTTCATGTCAAAATTTGTTAAATATAACAGTTCTGAAGCCTGCAGAAGAAATGTAAAGAAAGAATTTAGACACCAAGATATGAAAGCTAGAAAAAAGTGAATGTGAAATAGGAATACTTCATATTCAAACTGTGCAGATCAAAAAGTTCTACAAGACAAATGAATAGTAATAGACATTTAAAGAAACTTCACATAACATCAGACCACACAAAATTGATAAACATTCTGGCTGAAATCAGACTCTATTTATATTCTTATCTATTTTCTTTGAAAGATTTTGATTTTTTACATTAAACTAATGATGATAAATATTTGAAAATATAGGATACCGATAATATAACATCCGTTTTATGTGATCATATCCATACATGTGTAATCTACCGATGTTGTCGGGTTTCTACCGTTTTTGCATGTTGTCTACCGCTCTACTGGCGGGATACCAAATTCTACCGATTTTTTATTTTTTTCTTGATCAAATTTTCACGGGGCCTACCGTTTTCAATGTCCAAATTCTTTACCATAAATCAACAAAATATCTATCATTACTTGTATCTTGATCGTCGGTAACACGCGTTAATATCATCACGTAATAATATTATCATTGCCTGATTAATTAATCCCCTAATAAAGATGGTAATTTGATCTATTTTCACCCAATAATGTGTATTTTAAGCCCACGTGACACACTTCATAAAACAACATGATTCATATCATTCACATTTACATAGTTACAAGACCACACAAGAATTAATATTTCATTGATAAGGTAATAGACATACACTTTCTCAATAAAACAGTTGTTTTTATATGTATGTTCTTACTGCTACAGTACTTCAGTCCTATAGTCTAATAAAGATCAAGTTATTTAATCTTAAGATTATATTTGAGGTGATTCACTAAGTATCAGTATACCAACATTTGTTACCAATGTGACAATCCAAAAATTCTACCTTATTTTTAATGTATACTCAATACTGTTACAAACACATTCTTCTATCTCAAATATAAAATGACAATAATTATCACAGCCTTAATTCATTTAATACTTTTCTTATATATCTAGTGATCAAGCAATTAAATACTGTGCTCTTGTATACTATATGGACATTCACTGAGTTTGCTCATACTTTGGTTCCGATTAATTCAACTTAAGTTCAATCCAAGCCATTATTTCCTTGATATCTGTTGTGGTATTTGAGGAATGATCATAATAATTCAATTTCAATCGAAGCCAAAGTGTGAGCTGTGAATGGTTTCAATATTACCATTTAACCAAAATTCCTGTCTGACAGCTGCTAATGGTCTTATGGACCACATAACTGATTCATTTATTTGTATATTAGTCATATACACTAATCCTGAACGCTAATAAGAAAATATTAATTTCATTTCAAAACATGGAAATCAATATGATCAAAATACAGTTCCACGTTTTCTGGGTATTTGGTTTCTGCCTCTGACTTGTCTCACTGTTTAACAGTGATAGTTTTTCTTGAGTTTTTCCATTCAAGTGAAACTTCGTAAAAAATAAATCAATATGTCTCATCTGTGTCTGTTCAAATTATTTTCATTTAAAAAATTTAAATCTGATTGATATTCAGAGGGCAGTAAAAAGTAGTTGAAACAGTTTTTTTCAAAATTGAATGACTGCCATGTCAGACAAGCTATTGACAAATTTTAAATTTTTTTAAAAATAAAGACAAATTTATAGCATAAATCCTTCCTAGGAAAACCATGAGCTAATGCAACAGATAAATGAACTTACTTTTAATATTTGATCAGCATTTGTCTGACCGTAACCTCCAATAATAGATCGTTTTTTACGGAACATAATTTCTCCAAAACCAGGCCTATCATTTTCTTTCTTTTCTCCAGTAAACATTTTAAAATTATCCATAAGCTACAAATATGAAGTACATGTATACATGTAAATGTGAGTCAGTCTATCTATCTATAATAACATTTTAATCTTTAAAAACAATAATCTACAAATGCTCAACATATATCTCACTATAACATAGTCGGTGAAATTTTGTTATTAATTTGAAATAAAATGATGTCCACATATTCTGAAATGAAAATGAATTTAGTGAGCATGTTTTATAAACACTATTCTATTCATACGTTAAATAGAATGTGATCATGAAGAACATAAGTTAACAAAATACTACTTACTGACTCCTTTGTGATATCATTACCAGTAGCTAATAACATAACACTTTTATCAACAGCCAATACAAATACATCTGACTGAGGGTCAGAGTTCACTGTTAGATCCACCTTACTGTTAGCACGCAATTCAGGAGCTGAGAATTGTGCAGACACCTAGAAATATAGAAAAACATCACTGATAAGAGAACAGACAAATAGAATCTAGATACAACTCACTGTTAAAATAACAGACACATAGAATCTACATACAAATATAACAGAAACATAGAATCTACATACAAATCACTATTCAATTAACAGACACATAGAATCTACATACAAATCACTATTAAAATAACAGACAAATAGAATCTAGATACAAATCACTATTAAAATAACAGACACATAGAATCTAGATACAAATCACTGTTAAAATAACAGACACATAGAATCTACATACATATATAACAGACACATAGAATCTACATACAAATCACTATTCAATTAACAGACACATATAATCTACATACAAATCATTGTTAAAATAACAGACACATATAATCTACATACAAATATAACAGACACATAGAATCTACATACAAATCACTAACAGACACATAGAATCTACATACAAATCATTGTTAAAATAACAGACACATATAATCTACATACAAATATAACAGACACATAGAATCTACATACAAATCACTATTCAATTAACAGACACATAGAATCTACAAACAAATCATTGTTAAAATAACAGACACATGGAATCTACATACAAATATAACAGACACATAGAATCTACATACAAATCACTATTCAATTAACAGACACATAGAATCTACAAACAAACCATTATTAAAATAACAGACACATAGAATCTACATACAAATCACTATTAAAATAACAGACACATAGAATCTACATACAATCACTTTTAAAATAACAGACACATAGAATCTACATACAAATCACTATTAAAATAACAGACACATAGAATCTACATACAAATCACTGTTAAAATAACAGACACATAGAATCTACTGTTAAGAAATCTGACACATAGAATCTACATACAAATCAAAGACACATAGAATCTAGATACAAATCAAAGACACACAGAATCTAGATTCAAATTAAAGACACATATAATCTGGATACAAATCAAAGACACACAGAATCTAGATAAAAATCACAAAGACAAAGAATCTCAATAAATATCACTGTAATTTGAAAAATATACCTTATTCTTCATGCCATTATCAATCATAATTTCATAAACATCAACAATGACTTCTTTAACTTTACCATTAGTAACACCATAAACTAATAAATTAGCCATAGGAGACATATCACTTGTCACTGTTAATCTTATCGTTTGTTCTAGGTTACTGGAAAAATCTAGTGATCCTTTGGCTGTTATTTTCCCTTTTGATAATACCTAAAATTAGACAAATTACAAAATGTGGTCAAAATACTGAATATCGTTAAATTTAACTGACAAGTTTTAAACTAAGTATAAAGTGTACCATGCCTAGTATATATAAAATATATTTGAAATCTAAAGAAATTGTAAATGTATGTTGTAAAAGTAAACATTAAGTTTTATAGAAGTCTTAAGGTACAAATAATACTTACTACATAGGACATCAATGATAGAGAACCAGTTGCCTTAACTTTTACATCAATATTTTGATCTTTGTCTAAATCTAATTTCTACAATAATTAATAACACGGAGAATTACAACTTCATTCACTTATAGTTATATCATAATACACAATTTCCGAACAAGCTGTGATGATTTTCAACTTCAGAATAATTGAAATTCAATTCATAAAAATATAGCTCTTTTATTTGGATCTACACTAAGAATCATTTCATCAAATTGCTGAATAAAATTAGTATCATTGAATATTCATAAAAAGAGATGTATGGATGATGTGTGCCATATAGACATAGTTCTTGTCAAATTTAGTTTCCTAAAGTGTTTCTCTATTTTTTAAAATCTTATTTGCAGACTCTACAAATTCTTTATTTTTCCTTGATCATAGAGGAAAATAATCACCCGTACTAATATCACATCAATATAGCAATATATCATCATTCTCATTTTATCAAATCATATCATTTTAAATCATTTTTATTGTTTTAATTATATTTTTTAGACATATATACACTTTTGATACATTTCTATAGTCTTATGTGTCAATCTCTTTTTATCAAATATTACTATGTCTGCAAAAGAGAGTTAGGAATTTGGGAAATTATAAATATAAATTAAAATTCATACCTCTGTTGTAAAGCCGTCTAAGTTAGTGAGTTGTATAACTGTTTTACCCTCTGTGCTATAAGCATTTAATGAAACTGAGGCTTGATTAGCAACTTTTTTATCTGTACCGTTTATCTCAGCCTTGAAATAAACATTATTAGTTGTGATATGATAACAGGGATACATATTTGTTCTCCATTTGGAAGATTTCAAGTTCTATGTGTAGGCCATTCATGTCTGCCTGGTATAGAAAAGTAATGATACATGATCATGCAAACTATAACACTTATGTCGGATCACAGTGTACTGATTCATCGATATACCCTGACAACTCTAGAAATTATGGTAATGTGCACATGCCATTGGTTTTACTAATCAAAATAATTTAATCTTACAAAATAAAATATCCGATATGTTTCAGAGCAGTAACCCACATACATCAAATTATACATATCTAATTTTGGTTAAGTTTTATTGACTGTATTGAGAACTGTATTTGTCAATTTGAAATGGGTCATTCTTCTAAATCGATATGCACCAAGTTTCATCAAATTCTGATAAAAATGAAGCCATTTAGAAATCAGATTTTAGCTTTTTACAATTGCATGTGCAAAACCAGTTTCATCCAAAAAATTATTTAAAAATGGAGCCTCTATCTTGTCTACAAAAAATTTTATAGGATTCCAACGTACATTTTCTTATTAGTCAATACAAACAATAATATAAAGTTAATTTGTCTTACCTGAATATATAGGTTAGAACTGGCATCTTGGTCTTCAGTAGTAAAAGATACTTCATACCACTGGGCAGAATTAATAGTAACATACTGAACATTTTTACCAGAATAACCCTGGGATACTTTGACAGTCATTCCGTACTCAGATAATGGTTCACCTACAGGATCTGTAACTTTTACCTACAACATTCAATAGATGATACATGACTCTCAAAACTATTTGGCATTATATTATATGCCCATATTCTCATTTTATTGATATTCCTGTTTGGATACAGTTTTGTCATTTTGGATTTACCTTATGCATAAATACATGTACATTTGTATAATTAGATGTGACACAAATGTTTAATGTATTTAGATTCAAAAACCTAACTTAGGTAAAAAAAAATTCTAAAAAAATTACCCGAAATTTAACTGGTAAACCAGGATGATAAATATTCATTGAGTTCATAGGCTCAAGATGAATTTTCTGAGGATAAGAGTAGAATTTAACAGAAGAATCATCCAATATAGAAAATCTGGAGGTGACATCCGTTACATTTACAGTAACATCTATATTCTTCTCAGTCCAATAGTATCTTCCAAACATTAAATCATTTACCATATCACTACCCAACATTTCTTCTACAGTAAATGGTACATCTACAGAGCCTTTAAACTGAAATACATTACAAATTCATATATATTACATACATGTACAATACTACTCTACCAATACAGGAGATTTACGCCCATGTAAATATTCTTATCACATATTAAATAATTTTTCCTCAAATGATGCCATTTTTGTTGCTATCTGCAACAAGATGCACACTCGTGGTATCACTATGATAATCCCCTGGAGCAATATTGAAAAATATAGACACACTTGTATGTATATTCCCTACTCTATTTCTATTCTCATATTTTATGGGCATCCAATTTTGATTAAAAGATTATCTTTAATTAAACAGTATATTACATTTAAAAGTACATTAGTTGTAAAGTATATTTGGACTAGTCCAATAAGTGAAAGTCATATACATGTACTTACATTAACAGTTTTTTCACTTGTCATACTATCACCTTTAAGTAACACTTTAGCCATGGCGTTTACATCTTTACCATAGGTATATCTATAAATATATGCAGAACAATATCATTGATAGTCTAAGATTGACGTGGCATAATTAGAAATATTGTATCTTGTAATTTCATTACTGAAATAAACACATTTGAAATTTGAGTTGATACATTATTTCAAATGTGTTTTTTTATAGTATTGTGATCATTACTAACACCACCTCAACATAAAATGAACTGCTCCAGTTTTTGTCTTGAATCATTCCTGAATGTACAAATATCTCTGCTAATAACTTACTTAGCACTGATTTTAACAGTTACTTGATTTTGTTTACCATATAGAACATAGCCAGGGGTGATTTCAGTATTTACTTCAAACTTAGGTAATACTACAAAACATTCAACATTCATTAAAAATCTATTCAACAAGCCAAATTTTAGTTTTGTAATTTTGACTAATCCAGAAAACAATCTAATTTTGTAAGATTTTCTTTAAAAAAAAGGGCAACCTCAAATAATGTTTCGTATATAAATAATCAAAATTAATTAAAGTCAATTACTAAAAAAAATCAAAAGTTTACTATAGTACTCTGCTAAATATCGGGTTGTTAGAAAATAGCTTAAAAAAAATAAACAAGACCCTTTGTGTGGCTGTGTATGTTCAAGATCCATCAACGGATATATACATTTTCCATGAAAAATAGGAAGATAAAATGTTTCAATTCATACATACCATATTCATCTATTTTGACTGTCTTCATTTCACTACCTCCCTAAAATATAATAATGCATGCACAATTGTATATTTAATATATTAAATAAAATCTATTGAGTACCGGTAACAGTATGTATTGGTTTCTTGTATCTTGAAAGTAGGGTTTTATCCATTTTGGAAGCTGTTAGAAAACTACTGTACGGATTTGAGTAAAATATGCAAAATTGTAGAGAAATATGTTTCCTATGTAACGGTATTCTAAAGGTTTCAACTAATAATATCAAGCCATTATAAATCCAAAAACCAAAACTAGGTCAAACTGCTTAATTAACAAATAGTACTCTCTGTTTTTAATTAACCCTTTTAAAACAAAGTAAACGACTAACCTCTGTTGAAGCTTGTACAGACCAATCACCTAATGGTGGTTCATCAGATAAAGGAAACTCAACTCCAATAACACCTTAAATATAGAAATAAATTTGGCAAAACATTGGTAACTGCAAATAACCTTTGAATATCAAAAAAAAATTACAGTTAAGACAATAATGACATTTGGGTATTTAGATCTGTTTCTTTTAGATGACAATCTAGAATAATTAAATCACAATTCTGTTTACACGGTATCACGCAATTTGATTGCGCCAATTTAGTGCCTAAAGTTGTTGTTATATTATATAAATAATTAAACACGTATTCAAGTTGATTTAATTATAAGGAATGACCTTAACATTTTTTCAGTTTTTTGATGTATATTTACATTTCTACTATCACTCCCTTCAATAAACCAGTTAGCCAAACCGGCGTTTATTTTCCAATAACTGTAGTTTGTCACGTGACAATAAGGCATATGAATACATCGAAAACAAAAACAAGGATTGACCCAAGTTTTTTTTTTACCTAGAGTCTAATCTAATTTTACAATTTATTTAAATTTACAATTGTTGTTAATATTTCAATGGAATAATAAATATTTGATAATTCTATCATCCAAATTAGACTGTCGATTTATAGAACTATATTGTTAGGGGCTGGTCGGTGAACTTGATTGACAGATATAGGTGATTTAAGCAACAACGGTTTCGGGTATTTTTACAATTATAAAATAGAACATTTTAGCGTATTTTATCACAAAAGTAAACCAATGTAAATATAAGGAATGAATGTGGATCTTGTTATCGTTATGGGGAAATAAACGCTGGTTTATCATGTGACAAGACGTACATG